AGGAATGCCTGGCACTGCCCCAGTGTTGCTCTGCTATAAAGAAGGAGGATAAGGAGAACTTGGAGACCTATTGCGACCATCTTGGCAGCTCCCCCTGCCAAGAGCTGCCTCCTCCTTTGATGCAGGCTAATTTATAAATAGCACCAGTTCTGCTACTTGGAGAAAGCTTTGGGCTCTCCTTGTGCTGGATGTGCATGATACTCTGCAGCAGAGGGCAGATGCTCGTACCAGATTCTGCTCCCGTGGAACGCAGCAGCAGAGGACTTGAAGGCGAGAGGTGAAATAGCATCAGGGTTATCTCCTGTCCTCAGCTCAGAGCTCCTGTTGCAGCCAGTCCGAAGGGCCAGGAGATGCCCTTGGATTTAGCAGCACAGTCAAGCGCATGCCCCTGTCTCTGCTAGAGATGAGCATCCTGCTGTTTGCAGACTCCAGTTACAGCTAAAGTTGAAAAAAAAAAAAAAAAGTATCTGTCTGCATAAACAGGAATTTTCCTGAATTGTAGGAGCCAGCAGAGGACACTGCTTTGTCTCCAGCTCTAAAAGGGCTGAGTGACTTTTTTTTTTTCGCTGCTTTCTTCCTGCTCCATGACTCTGGTGGCACCTTCAGCAGAACAGCCACTGTTCTTTTTTATCCAGATCCATCAGAGGAGTTGTTTTTCTAGGTTGTTTGCTGAAGCTGTAGTAATAACGCTCCTGTGCAGCTTTACTTAAGGGAGGTAAGAAACAAAACCACACGACAAATTGGTCCAGTTTATCACAGCAACAGAAACCTGCAATTCAGCTAAATCGCCCCCACAGGCCAGCTTAGACAGCATCAATATTTAATGAACAGAACACCACTGTCTTCACAGCTCCAGCTTTGCCTCTGCCCCTCCTCACACCACAGCATGCCCCCAGGTTTGTCACCCCATGGGTGCTGGACACCCCCACATCTCTGGGGTGAACAGGGTCTGTGTCTCCCCGCTGCCCAGGCAGGCCTGCCTGCTGTCCAAAGTGGCACAACCCAGGCCTGCTGGCCACAACCAAATTTCTGCCCTTTTTCCAACATGGCTGGGCCACCTGGTGCTGCATGTTTCTGCCCGAGTAACAGCTTTCAGCTTTCTGGACAATCCTGTGGCAAGTGACAAGCAGAAAAGTGGGAGCAGGACTGGACCCATCTCGGCTCACAGCCTCTCCTACTGTCTTTTTTTGGGTGACCATGTAACCCAGGTAAGACTCTTCACCTGGTAACAGGCCAGAGGAGTTGGCTTCTGTTCAGCTGTTGATGTCTGTTTCCACAATTCAGACAGGAGTATTTTATCCCAGAAAGAGCTGCAGTGAAATAAATTGCCAGCAGCGTGTCCTCTGCATGGCACAGGAGGACCCGAAAAGAGGATGAGGCAAATCTGTCCCACCCGTGAGCAGAGGGGCAGTAGAGGAGCTTGGGGATCTCTTCTGCCACGCCCAGGCTCCAAGCTGGCCACGGCAGCTGGCCTTCAAGAGCATCTCCCAGCCCCGCCCCAGCAGGCTGCAGTGGCTCCTTTCCGGCTTTGCTCTGTTTAGGGCAGTAACAGGAACAAGTGGCAGGTCAAACTGTTACATATGGTCCCAGGCATGTTCTCTTATGGCTCTCTTGCCCATCTCCCTGGTCTCTAAAATGGAGATGACCAATACATCCTGGTGACAAGCACGAAGGAAGAAGAGGCATTTTTATTTATCAGGGCACCACTGGGGCAGGGGAATTTGCACAGCTGGGCTAGTAATAAATAACCCAGCAAGCTGAATTCCTCTAGCAAGAGTGCACCTCCCACTAAGCTCTCTGTTCACTTAAACCCCCCGTTATCCAGCAAGTTGCATGTTCCAAAGGGGGAAGTTCATGATCCGTTCCAGTGGCAGTGAGCGGCAGAGGCCACTACAAATGGCTGCTGGAGGATGGCTCTGTAAATCACTGGCCGGGGGCCTCAGCTCTTCACAGAAAATCCAAGAGGCAAAGCACCTTTGTGAACATGCCCCTGTGCCGAGGAGCTGTTCTAATGAGGGTGGTTAGAACAGCAGAAGCTGCCTGATCAGACCAGTCTGGGTTAGCGCGGCACGGCAGAGATGATGAGGATGATGCTCATGGGGGACTGGTGTGTTTGCAAGGGAACAGTCCAGAACAAAGATCAGGGCTGTGCAGGACAACATGTAACTCAGACACGGGCAGGTGTCCTGGCAAATACTCAATGGATTGTTCCACCAGTTAACTCTCCAAGAAAGGAAGCCAGAGCCAGTTCAGTGCCTTCCAAATCACAGCTCTGTTAAAAAAAATTAACACTGAGAACAGCTCTTCCTCTTGGCAGCTGTCCAGTTATTAATTTCAATGTATCAGCTGCATCTGAATGGGTTTGGGCTTCTGCCCAATATTTCTGTTTATTTGTTTTCCATTCATCTCCACTAAAATGAAAATTCAAAACCTAGAGAGAACAGAAAACAAACATGCTGAAACAATATTGCTGCCCACATACAACTGGCAGAAATCACTGCACTTTTTCCTCCTCTGCAGTGAGATAAGATCTAATTTTTAAGATTCTTTCGGCCTCTCACCTGAAAAATAGTGCAGGCACCTACGGCACTAGCTGCAGCTTTGAGTTGTCCTTGCTTTCTGGGCACAAAGGTGAAGAGCAGCCTTTGGCCCCCGACTAGGTTTTTACTGTGTGCCAGGGCACAGCGACTGCAGAGCCCCTGTGCTGGAGACACTTCTGAACAAACAGCACCTGTACAGTTTAAGAAGACAGAGCGGACAGTCCAGATGGTCACACTGAGGCTACAAACAGTTTGGACTGCACCTATGTTACAATGCACTGGCTGTGGAAAGAACTGCATGGTTTTAAAGGAAAACACATATAACCCACAAACATTGCCACTTTTTTCCTCTTGTTGCTGTCAAAAGGCTGGTGGGGGTTCCTCAGGCCAGCTCTGCATGTGCGAGCCAGTGTCAGCTGTTCTACTCTGCCCTAATCCCCCAGCCTGGCTAGCGCTTGCTTGACTTCTTACTCGTGTCCTGGTTTGTTCTGAGCCCATCTTTGCCTCAAAACACTTCACTTGATAAAACATTTTTCTATAAAAACCCATGTTTTTACAGTGATGTGATTCTTTACACAACCAAGTGTGAGTAAGAACACTAAGTTCAAAACCTTTGGCTTTTCAGTTAAGTGATACAAAAGGGATTACAAAATATCCTCGTTTACAGCTACAGTATTTAAATCCCATTCGCAACAGCACAATCAATAGGATCTAACTGTTGATGCATAAGATGAGATTAACAAGATAAGTAAAATGCATTAAAACAAGGCTTTTCTCCTTTTCAGTGCTTTGTCTTAACAGTTTAAGTGTTTTCCTTGCTTAAAACCACATGCAAGTGAATGCATAGTGCAAGGTATGAGTTTTGTCGGGTAAGAAATTCTTCTGCCTGTTACCTAAGAGGATTTCTTTCCAGCAATAAACAGTGTTCCCAGTTCTGCATTTAGGGCATCATCAGGAATGACATCACCCTCCATAAACTCCTCTCCAAGCTTCTTCCACCACGGCCAGCACATGTATTTCAGCATAGTGTTGTGGGATTCTCTTGCCTTGGTAGCTACAGGGATTGATCGACTCACAAAGACACAGAGATCTTTTTCTGTGGTCTCTGCTAAGCCTGGAGAATCTGTAAGAACAAGGAGAAGAGTTTTCCGTACTTTGTAGTTTTATGATTATTTTAAGCAAAAAGAGGAGCACTACTCTCCTACTTCCCACTGTCCTAGGTCACTCCATTCCCCATGCTGACATTACAATTTTACGGCTGCATGACAGACCTGATTGGAGAAATAATGCAAGTTAAAGCTAATATGAAAAAATAATTACAGAATAAGAGCTTGTTGCCAATTTGCCTGTTTGGGGAGTGATGAGCTGCAGTGACACAGCACTGACAGACTAAATGATGGAATTCAGTAATTTGCTGAATTTTGTCTGGCTTGGGTGTCCTCTGGTGGCTGCAGTTTGCTATTCTCACTCTTTACTCCAGGCTACTTGTCCAGAGTTAAAGATAGCGCAACAGTGAATTCTGTTTCAAATAAAGCCAGGCCAGAGAAAATGAAAACATGACTCAGAATTCATAGCTAAAAGATTTTTCCTCTTTATCTGGAAGTGGTGAGAGCGCTTCAGCCAGCAGCTTGCTTACAAGGAAACAGAACAAAGCAAAACAAATGCAGAGGAAGAGTTTGTGTGAGATCCCCTTCTTAGTAATTTTAATGCATTTTACAGAGCTATTGCTTCTCTTGTGAGCATATCAGAGAGACTCAGCAGTGGAATAAGCTACTCCCTGAAAAGGTGTGTATGTCTAACCTAGAACAGCACCTGGATAATCTCTAGCAAAGCCTAAACCTCAAGATAAGGCATAGGGCAAAGGAAGAAGGATACTTGAGTTTTGAAATGAGGCTTCACCACTGTTCCTTCTATTTTTCTCCCTAAATTAGTGTAATCCAAGCAGTAATCAAAAGTATGACCAGAGCAGTCACATACTCGTCAGCAGCTCCGCATCAGTGTTGACTTGAGCCAGTAACGTCTCTCTCCGCTGTGTTGCTCTCTGGTCCAGTCTGCTCCTCAACAGGAACCGTGCCAGCTTTTCCTGGGCCTGCATATGTAATTCCTTACTCATTTCTTCTGACATTTGGGAAGCCTGGAAGAAAGTAACAGTTTGTTACCATCAGGAGCTGGCTACTTTAAGTCTTTTGGGGGCAGAATAATATCTAAACAAGGAATGCAAATGCTGTTCTTAATTGTTAATAATTTTGCTTCCTCTGCAACTCTCTCCAAAGCTATCCATCATCAAGTAGATAAATTTTCCAATTACAGTTTGCTTTGATCCTTCTTATTAGATTAATGGTTTAAATCCCAAATATACTAATACCTTGCTCTCAAACAAGCAGGGTTAATATATGCATACCTCAAGTGAATTATCCTAAGCAGAATTTATGAAGCTGAATGTATTTAATCCCTGTGGTATTTTATGTTGCATCATTAATGCGAATTATGAAATGACTAAGAAACAGACCGGATGCAATTTGATGTAGTCATCCACCTTCTGCTGCAAAGCTGCTCTCTGCTCATCAGTCAGTCCCTTGGGATCTTTCCAAGGCAAGACAGGTCTCCTGCTTCTTCGTTTTTCCAATAATTTGCAAACCTTTGTAAAGAACACATGAGAATGTAAGAATCGTAGACAGGAAGTTTGTCTTCTCATTTTGTTTGTAATCAATTGGTGAAAGCAAAACATTTCATACTGCATCTGTTAAAGCATACATTGAGCCATGATGCTGAAAAGGCTTGCTGGACAGTTGGTAAGAACACTCACAACAAGTTATCAACTCACCTGTAGTGCAGTGAAATTCCAACCTTAGGTTTCAAAGTGGCAGCTCTTATATTTTAGTTACAAGACTGTATCAGGCTTTGTAACCTATGTGAGGTTTAACCTGTCAAAGCAACTTGTGGCTCTAGACTATCATCCTCTGAATAATTTCTTAATAAAGCTATGTCTACTTTAACAGTAAGAGAATAAACAGAGCTTTTTAGGACATCACAATAATCCCCTCAGCCCTATCCAACATTAGAATAAAGTATGTGCACTTACTGCTCTCTGAATGATGACAGCTGCTTTATACTCCTTAAGAGATCGTCTCTGCTGATGAAAATTTCGTCTTGCTCTATACCCTCGCCAGAATCTCTGGATAGTTAATGCTGATTTCCCCTCTGTTTCCTCCAGGTACTTATTTACCTGACCTATAAAGGTAATAAAAATCCAGTTATAAGACTGTGGGTTGGGATCTCTTAACAATTTACATTTTTAGTCCTCAAATGAGATAGTACCAAAAAGACTTGGGTGCTATCAGTTAAAAACCTCTTCAAGGTCTGCTAGCTGCAGGCCACGTCTCAGAGAGCTGTAGCTGCAGCTGAGCTTTGTAACACAAAGAGACTGGGTATCCCTTTCTCCTGAACCATTTTGAAGGCAGCAGATCTTTTAGAATTAGCACGGTCTCTGTCAGATAATTGGGTCAGGAGAAGACCCAGTAAGACTACAGTGCAAACAGACATGCAAGATCAGGAAATAAGTTTGGGTAAACTGTTCTTAAGGAGACCCAGACAGTTTAATCTTCTGATATAGTTTAATATAAATCATACTGGCATGGATTATTTCCAGTACGGCCAGCTGTCGTTCATGGAAGTGCCTCATGGCTCTCTGTCTCTGAAGTTGCATTTGCACCTTTAGAGCCTCATCTTCCTTCTGTTTTAAGTGCTGTAGATCCTGTTCCCGTTTAGCTCTGTAACACACAAACATGTTGACAATTAGCTTAAGCTGTACATTTTTTAAAAGCAGCTCTATATTGTGGCAAATGGTCCAGCATGAAGGGAGGCAATCCACAAACTATCTGCCACCCCAGCTTGCTGGCTGCAGGACTGCATCAAGCGATGAGAAGTCACCTGCAAGCTAACAAACCAAAGGAGATATTTTTACTTAGGATAAACTTCTAAGGACCTTGAAGGGAACGACGCTCCATGTGGGACATTCACAGCTAGCACAAACTAGAACAACTTTGATTCCATCACCAGGGAGAAGGTAAAGCAACGTTAGCCATCTGCTCCAAGTACGCACCTTCTCCTTCGCATCCACCATGGCACCTGCTTTCCACAACAAGCACTCTTATTTCTGTACTGACTGCAAGAGTAGATCAGAATGTTGGCTGTCACTTTTTAAATTTGGAGGGATATGTTTTGTTTTTTTCCCTCCAGGAAATACAGACTGACACATTGTTTCCATCCCCTTTTTTAACAGAACTAGGAAAGATTTTACTTGCAAATTCTTCCTGATCTGTACTAGTTGTTGTAATTTGATGTTAGGATGTTGCCCTGCTTGGCACTGGAAGAGCCCCAGCAGATGTTTCACAGGTGATACAACTGAAAACTTTGTCATTGGCCCTGGAGCATTTAAGCTACTAGTATTAAAATGTTAGTGTATACTGTTGTATAGATACTAACAACTACTGAGACCACTTGGACATGGCCTGGGTTAAAGATGAGGAGCTGGGAGTCCCACTCCCTCCACTACCCCTTCTTGTCCCAGTGGACCTCACCCCACTAGCAGGTTAATGCCCAGGACAAGTTCACCCCATGGTGGTAATGACATGATGACTACTTCTCTTCTCCTGCTGCACTGCAGCAGAAGCACTTGCCTGCTCAGGCCCCACGTACCACCACTGGGCCCACAGCCCTGAGTTCTGTTCTCCTCTAGCACCTTTCCAAGGACAACGGAAGAAGCACCTTAAGGACATGAGAAGAGAACAAATGGACAGAGTACAGGTGTAAGGGGTGCCAGAAAGGGGAAAAACGCCGTAGGGTAGAACTAACATCCAGCAATTTTGGTATCACTGCATGTCACATACCTTTAGACTTGTGGTACTATTGAGTTAGTGTGTTTTCTTCCCATCACTAGCATAAACTGAGCTGTACTTTTGCCATCAGCCATATTTTCTCCTCAGTCTCCATTTCTAGGTGGGGAAATATGGGATGGAAGGTTTTTTTGTGAAAGAGATGCTCTAGATTTAAAGATCTGACCTTAACTGATAAGCCAGCCTCTGCCACGATCTGAGAGACCATAATCCATTTATGACAGTAATGCAGTCCTGAAGCGTGCCCACACATCTACCTCCAAAGGCAGATCATGATATATGTGATTACATCAGAACAGTCTCAGGGAAACTAGAGGTTTTCCAGACCACACATTTCTGTGAACTAGAGCTGTAAATCTTTGCATTTTAAATCCAGGCAGGCACATATTATACTCCTAAGTGGAATGATGTCACAGGATCAAACAGGACTCCTGATGACATTTTCTTGATAAAACTATTAATGATTTCCCCTAGAAATTTCTATGGGTTCCACTAGGTGGAAAACTACAAGAAAGTTTCATGAACTTCTCAGTCATGCACCTGTGAAACTACTGACAGTGTCTGTCAGGTATTTAAATGTTTCTTTGATACCAAGTCTTTCCCATGTGATCTGCAAAACAAGTGCTCTTCATTCTCTGTTCCTCCTAGATGTATTTGTTGGCACAAGACCACACTGTGACACAGAAATACCCCTGAACAGAAGCAAAACACAGAGGAAGATCCCAGCTTCCTTCAGCACTTCATGGCACAGATCAGCTTCCCTCTTAGCTCTTTATATATCTAAAACGATTTGAATTTTGATGCACGATTAATACAAATGGTTGCCTTTTTCACAGTTCTACAGTTAACTATGTAACAGTGAACTAACTTCAAGGAAAGATTACTGGCTTTAATATTCACTGAGAAGACATTTCTGAAACCACAGAGTTTCAGAAGTTTGTAACTTGCACTGCAGCTGCAGGTGAGCCAAGGTCGGAGTTTCAACCTCAGCACCATTTAGCCACACTTGTTCCAAAATACATCTGTGAATATAACCAAACCTTGACTGTCAAAAATTCCAAAGTCTTCTTAAAAGCTTTTCTGAAGTCTCATGCTTACAGTATTTCAAACACTATTTTTCAGTGTAACAGTAACTGCAGCTTTGACCTAAAGATAAAACAACACTGGAGCCATACAGTTATTATATTTACTCAGTGCATGGGGGCTGCCTGAGCCACGAACCTGGTAAGTGTAAGGACATGAATCCATTTCCATTGTTATCAGTATTAAACCAACACATTCAAAACTCCATTTAAATGACTCAATAACCACTTAAGACACAGCACTAATGCTTACAGTACTGAATACATGACAACAGGAGTCAACCAACTTGTGGCTTGCCAATAGCCTTGCCACCTTTTCCCTTCTGTTTCATCATATTATGTCTTAGTCCAACCTCCAGGTTTTCTAGGCTACGATTTTGGCTTGCAAGGTGCCTGATGAGGGCAGGAATATTGGCTCAAAGTATGTGGTGGAGAGAAAAGGAGTGACAACGATGTCATTCTTGACATTTCAGCACAGAAGCTGGCGTGGTCAGTGTCCCTCAATAGATGCACTGCTTGCCCCTGCAAATAATCCAGAACTTAAAGATAACACCCTATTTAGTCAGTATCTTCTTCATGCCAGTCTAGATGACAAATCATAACTGTCTACTTTCCAACACCTTCATCATAATGCCCTGTAATTCGACTAATGGATTTCTAAGATCTGCTTTTGACACTGTAATGCTGAACATGTGCAAAAAAAAAAAAAAAAAAAAGCTGAAAAAACCTGATCTATCTCAGTTTAAATCCCTTAGCCTATGCTAAATTTACACTAGAATTCTCAGGAGTTAGCATAGCACGTGCTAACATCACTGCTGAAATCCTGCTTCAAGTAAGACAAGCATTATTCAAGCTGCTTCATTCTTCTGTGGTGCACCAAGTCAGAGGATACTATTTCTAGGTCACTGAAGTGACTCCACCTCTGAGAGTCCAAGATTTAAAATATTAATGAAGAACAAGGTCTTGCAAGAACTCCACTGAGCAAGCACTATGGGTCTTATTTTCTGCAGAAGTCTGGCACAGCAGATGGGAAACTCCAGGCCAGCTCCACATTCAATTTATGGTGGAATTCTGTGTCAAGTTAACTCAACCAGTTAACTGTTCTGCCACCAGTACATCACCTTCTAATGCTATTTAGTGCAATCCCATGCTACAGTGTGCCATGCTTTAGTTTTCCATATGCCTTTTTTTTTTTTTTCCACAGAAAATGCAGAAAAGCATCATAGAAATAAATTTTTTTCATGGAGAAGTCTGGCAGCTGGAAAAGGGACAGTTGGAGCTTCTGGCACCAGAGAAGTGGCAGTTTGGTACTACTGGAAAAGCACATTGTTTGGATGTTTCTGCTGAAAGAATCTGTAGTGAAACTGCCCATGTTGGCATCACATTACCTTCATGTTTCAGAAAGGAAGATTCCTTTCTCCAGTCAGCTGTTACTGAAGAAACTCTTGGTCAGCCCAAACCTATGCCCTGGGACATGGGAACAAATCCTCAGGGAAGCTATTTCCAGGAAGCTCAGGAATAGCCAGCATAGACTTATTGCAGGCAAATCATGTTTAACTGGCCTGATTGCCTTCTGTGATGAGATGACTGGCTCCATGGACAAGGAGAAAGCCATAGATTTCATTTTCTCTGACTCTACCAAGGCTGTCATCACAGTCGCTCATTCAGGGCATGGCTGACACTCAGAAGAACCTCCACAGACACAGAAAATGGATCAACAGAAACCACAGGAAGTTCAAATGGGAAGTTCTACACCTGGTACAAAATAACCTCATGAACCAGTACAGCCTGGGCACTGACTACCCAGACAGCAGCTCCACTGGAAAGGACCTGGGGTGCCTGGTGGGTGCCAAGTTGAACACAAGCCAGCAGCATGGCCTTGCAGGCCAGCTGTGTACTAGGCTGCACTAGTAAAGCAGAGTCAGCAGTCCAGGAAAGATTTTTATTATTTTGCTTTACTTGGCACTCCTGAGGGCACGCTTGGAATATTGGTCATGCGCTACTGGGCCTCCCAGTAGAAGACAGGTATTGACTCACTGGAGGGACAGAGACTGTCCAAACAGACACAATTAGGGCTATGGAGCATGTCATATACAAGGACAGGTGACAAAATGGGCTTGCTTAGCCTAAGAAAGGGAAATCTAATCTGTCTCCCACCAGCCAAAGGAAGTGTTACAGAGGAGGCAGAGGCAGACTCTTGGGATGCACAGAAAAAGGGCAGGAGGCAGTGGCAAAGAGCCACAGCAAGGAAACTCCCACTGGCTGTAATGGGAAAATTCTTCACAAAGCAAGTCATTCAGCACCAGGACAGGATCCCAGGTGGTGGGATCTCCAGCCCTGGAGACCTCCAGAACTGGATATTGTCCTGAGGAGCCAGATGCCATTTTAAGGCCAAGCTTACTTTAAACAGGACACTGGATCGCTCTGTGTCCTGGGAAAATCCAACCAAACCAAACCTTTTACTAGATTCTTCTCCTTAGTGGTTTTTACAAAGCCATACTGTTTACCTGAAGCTCCTCTGTAAAGCGGTCACGGCTTGGGGTAGTTTTTTCAGCTTTTTCCTTGTCTGATAGCCCCTCCATGTAGCCTGGATTATACAAGCTGCTTGATGCTGCCCCTGAAGTTAATAAAGCAGTTGGTAGAATATTTTCTCTCTATATAGAACCACTTTATTACTGCTTGCATATTTGGAACAATCTTAAGAGCTGGCCAAAACCCAACAGTTTTCAAATGTCTCAAAATTCAAAATTTGTAACAGTTTAGGGAATTTAAGGTCTTATAAGACAATCATGATAATGAACCCTGTACTTGCTCCAAAGGCAGCTCATCTGACCATCTGAATGGATGCTTTCTGTGATTAACAAATTCATCTACAACACAATATGTATTAGCTGCATTAATCAATGTTAGAGATTTGTATTTAACTCTCGATATTTCAAATGGTAATTCAATCAAAATATGCACACCAGAGAGGACAGAAAAACAAGTCTGGAGAACCAGAAGCAGAAAAAAATGCTACATTTGCAGTACAATCATAAGTCACTGAAATGCAACAAACACAAAAAAATTCTACTCTTAAATGGATTTTAAAAACCCCAACCAAATAAGCCCCTGGTCTGTTGAAGATGAAAGCAGGTCTCTACAAACACAACTTCCATCTCCTTTAAAGCATCGTCTCTGAGAAACCTGCATGTAAAATAAAACACATCAGCTCTCCTGTTAGGAACCCAGCCCAGAAGGTGTTCTTACTAAGCATTTTCTCTGTTTGACTTCATTGTATGTGAATGTTGCCTAGAATTCAGACATCTGGATTTGTAACACTGCTGTGAGAAAAGCAGATACAGTTATATTTTTTTTTTCCTCCCTATGGTTGTCTAGAAATCTATGGTTAATCTGCAACAGAAAGTCAATCTCTTGGGTCACAGTCCTGTACCTTAAACACTGGACAATTTCTTGATGTCTTCAAAAATGATATAAGGAAAAAAATTAGTAAATAGGAATTTTTAGAATCCATTAATACAGTGAAAAAATAAGACAGGCTTTGGAAAACTTCACCAAAGCAACAGAGTAAATCCATTCTCAATATATATACACCACATATAACTAGGATTTGACATATACAAGGCTCATTAAACTTCAGCACCTGTATTTCTCCTTTTCCATTGGATTGTTCCAAGTACAGCAGGTCCAAGAGTTGACTGAGATCCTTGTCAAATCCTTTGCCAGTCCACTGTTTACTTAAAAGACTTTTTAATCCTAAGAGAGAGAGAAAAAACAAAAGCACGTGATAGCCCTAAGGTAAATTCTTCCTTTCATGGTTTCAAACTAACAATTTTCAAGTCAAATAAATCAAATCTGATTCTATGTGCAAAGGAACACCAGTCATCTTTGACTTTCAATGCAGAATATTATCAATGAATACCTGTTGTTCCAACCACCCCAGAGAAGTATCGTACAGTGACTGTAATTTTGTATGCCCAAGTCACCCTCTATTGTGTCTACATAACTGGCAGTTAAATTACCCATGTACTTGCCGTGTCCCAATCTAAGGTAGTAAAAGGATGTAAAGCACCACACAAGTTGAAGGGAAAAGGAAGGAGGGTAGGAGATAGATGTGTTTGGATAGCCTCCTGAAGAACTGCAGATTCAAGTAACTTTTCCATTTTCAAACCATTGTCCACAAACATATTCATATACTGGGCAACTCCAAGACTCATATATACTTATAGGACCTGGAGCACAAGATCCTTCAAACAGAAATGGCACCTCTGCTCTAGCACATGCACCATTTTGGAAAGACAATGACAAACACTTCAGGATAAAGACAGGTGGGACTTCACATGGAGTGAGCATGTGCTCCAAGGCTGCCTGAGCTTTGCAAAAGCATGCAGCCTGGCTACACCAGGCAGTTCCCTCACAGAGGTCTTGTGGCTCTGACAACCACGTGCGACTTTCTGTACCAACTACACAGCCACATTGTCTACATTTGCCCCCGACCTGGGGCTAAGCTTCAGCAATTGCTCTATTGCCCCATGGCCACTCCCCAGCAGAGAAGGGGGTTCAGGAAAAGGAGAAGACACCCATGGGTTGAAATGAAAAAGGACTTAATGCAATTAATCCCAATGCCAACATAAAGCAAACAAAGTTATACTCAGCCCAACAAATGTATGGTGGTCACAATACACAGGAAGCAGCACCAGGAAAGAGCTGGAGTAGAAGGCCTCCTCATTCTCAGCAAACACCCTCCTTGATACCGAGCATGATGCTGACGGGATGGGACAGATACACCTGTGCTAACTCAGGGCAGCTGCCCCAGCTGATTCCAAGCTGCCAGTGGCCTGCAGACCATGGCAGCCCTAGGGTTCTGTCCCAGCGAGCCCAGGGCACCCAAACACCTTTCAGCTACTGACAGGGGGTACCTCAGGTGTGCCTCCCAGATATGTCAATACGTGCAGACAGCAAGAAACCTCCTGGAAACGTGATGCAAAACTGTGCTAGTCTTGGAGATGTGAGATTCAGGTGATTTCCTCATCTCTGGCAGGCTGCCTGTACTGACAGAAAGCTTATGCTGAAGTACCTCATAAATGGCAGCGACTCTGGGCCACTGTGAAGGCAAGTTACTGCAGTGAGGTGGCCAGATGGTGGCCAATGCCGTAACGCTTTCTATGCTGCTGCCATTCCTCAAACTATTTAAACGATTCCAAAGCTCAACTGAAAACTAATATAAGGACTCTAACATCTAAAAAAAAAAAAAAGGAAAAGAAATTATATTCTTTTTCTTAGTGGAAACACAAACCACGTATAGAAGAGAGGAGTCTCTAAATGTCTGTGGCATATTGTGATTTTAGAGCAAAACCAAGTGTACACCTTGGATGGAGACTTGCACATCTCTAGACAAGCCAGCTTTCTACAGATGGGATGATCCCACTATCACAGTACCTTCCCAGCCTTAGGCACATTTATACTCCATTTCATACCAAGAGATAGCCCTCCTTCCTCAATTCTGTAGGCAAAAGGGTGGCAAATCTGCCTGTCTGGTCCAGAAATACATCTGGCTAGTACAGCCTTATAAGCAGTCAGCACAAGTGTAAAAAATAAGGACATTGGGCTTTTTTGTCTAGAATATCCACTCCGTACTGTCCTTGCCCTAAAGGACTGAGGCCTCTCACAAGTGGGTTTGACCATCAATAACATCCAGAATATAAAAGACCTGGCAAACATCAAAGCCTCTTTCTTAGTCTCCATGGGCATGCCAGAGGACAAAGGGTTTTCCTGGAGCTCCCTGCTAGGCTAGAGACAGAAACATTAAATGAGACACACCTCATTAAATAATGAATAACAAAGCCAATTACATGCATACTCAGCCTCCTCATCTAAAGGCAGCAAGACAAACCAATAAACTCATTTAATGAATTCTTGGGAAGAGTTCATTCCAGTCACTTGGGTATGAAAAGACAGTCAGCTCCTCAGAACAGCACCCATGAGATAAGCAGGCCTGTAATAGCCAGGGTCAGAAGTTGGCTTTAAGTAAAATTTTCATGCTTCTGGACTAGTGAACCTTAGCACACTGGCAGATGTCTGAGGCAGGGCTCTTATCGTGGCAGTACAGGCACCCTGCTACTCACATCTCTCAGTATCCAGCCTGCACAGGAAAAACAGATGCAGAACATCACGTAGAAGAAGTAAAGCCCATCAGGGTGGACGTGACAAAGAGCTTTAGGAGACATGCTGCCACGTGCAGAGTCCTCAATACACACAAGAAAATGAGTCTGGGAAACAGGAAGAGCTGTGGCACCTTAAACAACAGTGAAAATGAACAGAAGAGAAGGAAAAGCTCAACAACACAGCACTGCAGTTTCCATCTGTATTGGACAGTTATTGAAACAACATGTGGAAGCTTCCTCTTTGTAGCTTCACAGTGAATGTAAGAGGAGGCCGAGTGGTTGGGCTCATGCAAGTTTACAAACCTTTGTAGCGAGCTGTGAGTAACTTTGCAAGCTGCTTGCAAAATTTTGCCACCAACAACAGGAGTTTTATAGCAGCAGTTCCTATGACAGGATTGGTGGTAGACGAAAGCTTATAAACAAGTTCATCCAAAACAGAGTGAAGGGTCTCTTCATCAACCTGAAGCAAGACAGAACTTTAAAAGAAAAAAGGTAGGGAGACAGAATTGAAGAGTTAATTAGAAACTATGAGCTTTTGTTAAACAGCTTTATTTACTTTTAGATATGGCAGGTATTCAGCTAGCCAACATGCCCAGCTAGCTGGACCAGCAGCCTGATCCAGGCAGTAGTACTGGTTCTACCAACTGATTCCCATTCCCTCAATTTAACAAGGTAAAAAAAATAGCTTGTTTTTCCCTACCTCTACAACAAGGACTAGGAGGGAAAAACAAGCACACAACAATTCTTTTATATGGAAATAGTCTATTTTACAAAGAAGTAAAGAATTGAGTTTTAAATTTAAAATTCAGAAAAACCAATGATAGGAAAACAACTAACCTATTTACCCTCAAAATATTGTGTAAAACAGACATCGTTACAATCGCTGTTTCAACATCATCTGTTATTAACAACTGCAGGAAGTGATCATTTTGCAGTACTGCAAAAAAACAAGCAAACAAGAAATCACACAAGCAGAACCAGACTTGAAAATACCATAAAACCAAACAAACTTCATTATAAGTTCATTATAAGGAACATAAGCCATAGCAAGTAAAACCAGATACTGCTTCTGGAACAAACTCCCACTTTTATAATTTTAACACTGAAACTTACTTCAACGTCCAAAAAACGTGTGGAGCCCTGCTTTTTCTGCTTTTGGATATCCCCCAGGCACTGGTGTTGCAACAAAATAAAAGCTTTAAAACCTTTTGTTACACTAGTACCACTTTCTTATTACAGCAGTGGAATTATCACTGGGGCAACACTGTCCAGAAAAGATAAGGACTTCAACCTCAACTGTTTGTTACACCAGGTTTATTTAATGCAAATCCACTGCTGTCATTAAGCATCACCTTTTTTATTCAAGTGTATCACTGACTATACAGTTAGCAATTTTTTCTGGCTGTGCATGTTTTTAGTTACACAACTTATGATCCTTGGGTTTTTGTTCTATATTAGAAACAAAACCAAATTCTGATTTGTAAAATCAGTGTGATTAACACTGATTTAATTGAAAGCTTATTTTGGTCAGAAGTGTACAGCAAAGTTTGTTTGAAGTTTGTAAAATTTCCTGGCATAGCAGCAACTTCAGGAATCTGTTTTCAAGTCTGCCCACTTTCCAGGGCCTGTAATGTACTCTAGTCAAATTTCTGCATACCTTAATCACACAGGAGTAAAAAGATCAACTGTATCTTATCAGAAAAAAATATCTCTTTTTTAAGATATAGAATTACAAAGGGAAAAGTACAAGCAAACACTTTCAATGTTTGTCTCTGAAAGACTAGAAGGGGAACTCTAGAATTTCTCGTTAGTGGGTCTTTTCCATTGTAGGTGCTGTTATTTCTGTTGAGTGGACTGATTTAAGAGGCTGATTTAACACCTACTCCAAATTAGAAAATGAGGTGTAGATTAGCTTAAGAATGATTCTTGATACCTGTTCAGGTGTTCTATGGGTTTATTCTTACTTTTAAGACCCGTCTGGATGCGTTCCTGTGTGACCTGCCCTAGACTAGATGGTCCTGCTCTGGCAGGGGGGTTGGACTCGATCTCCAGAGGTCCCTTCCAACCCCTAACGTTCTGTGATTCCCTTACCACATGCTGTTAGTTGAATATGCCCACCAAACAGCCAGCAGATGGCATCTGTTACTGTTCGGAACCAGCGTAAAAAATCTTGTTTCTTTCCATCCTAAACAAAAGAGAAGTAGGGAAAAGCATGTGTAGGTATCTTCATTGAGGACTGCAGCCTTATGTAGCAGGACGGTTTGCATGCTTCAGGGATTTGGAGATCAAAACTCCATCAAATTCCTGCATGAGGTTGGGAAAACTGTAGGAACCAGATTAAAAAAAAAAAAAAGGCAAACAAATTCTTGAGTCTTTGAAGGCCAGAGATCAATGAAGAAAATCTAAATATACTCTAAAAAGCATCACTCCTGAAAAAAAACTGTAACAGGGAGAAAGAAGTCTTGTTTACTCCTTAAAAAATATTTGATAGCATAGGAGGGCTAAGAAGGCAAGTAAACGCTCAGTACAAATACACCATAAATAATGCAATTCCCACTTGTGGATTAAGATTAAAGCACAGGAAAAAAGGGTACAAAGTGGCCAAGGACACAGTTAAAATGGAAGAAGGTTCTGAAAAACTGGCACCGTGAGGCTCCAGAAGCACCTCCTAGTTGGAGGTCTGGGTTTGATCAGTGTGCCAAAGAGGCCATGTTATGTGCTTGCCTGTGGTAATGCTGGTGTGGACAAAACGACCAGGAAGAATCCAGGTTTTAACACGTAAGTGCACAAACAACAGACACACAATCTAGAGTCTGTATTCCAGGTGTGAGCCACAGGCCGCGGGAAATATAAAAGCTCGGTGCACGGGACAACAAAGGGGCTTCTGATAGTACTACATTGATGACAAACATTCCTATAAAGCACCCAGCCTGATGTCTCCCACATTAATTGGGCATCCACAAATGAAGCTCTGGAAAGGCTATTCCTAGATCTGTGCTGCAAGTCCCAGCCATCAGTCACAGTTTAACTTTGTATTTAGTTCTTACTGACAAGGAGAGAGACAAAATCACAGTAATAAGTTAAGCTGTAATAATATCTGTTCTGTGTTTTGGCAATACGACAGTTTCTGAAAGCTATTTCAGTGCTTCCCTTGACTTCAAAGACTTGTGCAAAAAGCAAATGAGAGCAAAATAAACTACTAATCTCCACTGGTAGAGTGGGATTTCCAAAGTTCCACTGAGCAAGCACTGAGTCTGGGTGCCCAGCCACCTCTGAGACCACAAGGTTTAAAAGCCAAAGTACTAATTATAATGCAGACAGCATTTGCATTCAAAAGAAATCTTTGCCCACAAGCATGACTCAAGTAGCATGCAGGCTGAGACATAATAAGAAAGTGTGGGGGAGATTACATATTGTGGGTAAGACTTGAGTCTCCTGGGAAGTCATTCAGGATGCTTCCTTCTTAAGCACTAAATGTGCTTCTAAAGTATTAAACTTAACAGAAAACACGTTACTCTTCTGATACTTTCCGAGAACCGCGTTTGTGGTGCCCATCACAATACTCCATAGGAAAGCTAAGACTAAGTGCGAGAAGCTGGTGAGCCAAGAAATGAGACACTGAGGAAACAAAGGTATTAAAAGGAACTATCAAAATCCATGAGGTTGGTTATTTAAATTATTTGTGGGTTTCATTTACTGGGGTTTTTTACTTCTGCTTCTGGAAGTCGGAATGCTTCAGAAGCGTGAGGGAACCTAGCTGGGCAAAACCCTTTTTCTCTGCAAAGAGGGAGAGAAACACAAGAAAGTGTTCAAATCTACACTTTCACAAAATCTGCATTTCCCAGTTTGGAGTTCCCAAAGTGTAGGTTCAGAAACAGTGAGCATTTTTGGGATTTTTTGCCGGTTCCGTGGCAGAAATTATACAGAGAAACAAACTTCAACAAATCCATTTTAAAATCTTAAAACTTCTTAAATCTTTTTTATAAAGCTGAACAAAGCAGTGGGACAGAGCTGTCACAAAGACTGAACTAATTATATGCAGAGTTAAAAAGACACTACTGTGACCAGGATGCTGTTTTTGTATGGCACTTTTTTCCTATCACACTGCTCTAATTCTTCCATTCTACTTATAATTGCATTTCCTTCCCCCAACCTTTAAAATTTGCAAAAAGTAGTAGCAAAAAATCTCTGAACTAACCTACGGTACAAACTAGCTTTGCACACGTAACAGACCCAATGCTCCACAATGACAGATTTCAGTTTCAAAGCTCCAAGGTGTAAGAAAAACTACTGTAATTTCTGGAAAACAAATTTTCATGACATAGTGTCCCTAGAAGAATACTCTACTTACACAATACGTTACCTTGGAAAGTCTACAGAGGTTCTCTGATCTTTTAACTATGAAATTTAAATACCTTGATTGCTCGGATAAATCGTGCTTGCAAACGTCTTCCCAAAAACAGCAGGTTGTCTATAGCTGAAGGCAGAAATTTCTTGTAAAATTCCTCAGGATCTCCTTTCACCTCTAGACCTACACAACAATGACTGAAATGGAAGAAAAAAAAAAAAAAATCAACCTGAATAGTCAAAGGCCTGTTTGAACAGCTTTGAATGAATGTCACGTCATGGGAGAAGAAATGGTTCACTGGCATGGGACAATTCAACACTGAACAACAGTTGACTGCTGTGACGGGCTCCAAGGTAGCTGCCTTGAAAGGAAGAGGAATCACTGGCAGGCTGGAGACAGCAGCTTTGTCACTACTTATTGCAGCACATCTCAGTTGGAAACGTATCGAAGGCACTTTCTGCTCTAGCTCCATAGGATCTGCTCAGGCTTGCTCCACATACTAGGGAAGGGCTCTGAGGGTCACAAAATTAAAAAAAAAAAAAAAAAAGGCAAACCAGAAAAAGCAGACAAAAGCCTGATAAAGGAAGCCTGAAGGGGATACAGATCAGGCAATGAAAATATGTATTAAAAATCTATTACCACTAAACCTGTCTACAGTTGTCCTCTAACTGAGGAAAACACGTGGGCTAGAAATCAGTTCTTCAGATCTCAGTGTTCTTATTTTACTCACCGTAAACATGTCGGTCATTTCTGGAAGACTTTTTACAAGACACTGCACATTTTACAACTGGGAAGTTTTTCAGTTCTGTATGCCACGCTGACACTAGTGCAACAAGAGTCTTCCTAACTTTTTATGAATTCTGCTTTCTGACATCTCTAGGCTTTATTAACTTTTTCTGAATGCAGGCGTGTAAAGCTCTGCTTACCAAAGCCCTTGGAAAGCCAATTCTAGGCATGAAGCTGAGATTCATCTAGTTAGAAAGGGACATTTTTATAGCTAAAATAAATTTCAGTTTTCTCTGCAATCTGAAATAACTTATAGGTGATGATTTAAGTATCACACAACTCCAGCGATAAATCTTGCATCTCTTAGTGAAATTCCTGGCATTAAAAATTCATACTGCAGATATGTCATAAATAAGAGATAGTAGCCTAATTGCTTCATGCCTTAGAATTTTGTTCCCTAGTTAAACCAAAATCAAGTATAACTCGGGGAAAATTCAAAACTTATTATTTTTCCTGACGCCAGAAAGTGAGATGGGATCACTGGGGATTTGTGTTAGAGTTGTAGTTACTAGCTATGAATTAAACTTAATACTGCCATTCTCACAACATCACTCCAGCAGGCTATCTAGTCTGTATGAACTGTGCCCTCTATTATTTTTCAAATGTAAAAAGATATTTAAAATAGGTATATTAAAAAGATATTTAAATAGAGTCAAGCCAAGCCATGAGTCAATCAGGCTGAAGATTTTTGCAAGATGAAATCTAAGTAAACAAACATTTTAAATAATTACAATTCAAAATTAGCAATTACTGGGTAAGAACAGTGACACTGATGAGTACTGTTGACAAAAAAAAAGGTAAAGCCAACAAACCCCCTGTTCCCACCAAACAGTTTACCCAGCTCAATGAAACACAATGCCAATGAATTAAACAGGACCAATTAGGCTATGCCTGACCCCTCTGCTCTTGACTGCTCCCTGCACTTTAACCCCAGCCTTTCCTGAACAACAAGCCTTGTTCTGGATGGGAGCCAATGTGTTGCAGCTTGAAAAGAAAAAGAGCAAGATGAAAGGCCAGAAAGAAAACAAGAAGAAAACTTCTTAGCACATTTGGGTTTACCTTAGTATCTCTGCCAGCTGGGCAGCAGTAGCCCAGCCCCCAGGCAGTTGAGAGTGGTCTTGTCTAAGGACCAGCATGCAGTACTGAGTAAGGTCATAATCATATATATCTTGCTTTATTTTTTTTGATTCTTCACATCCCAAGGAAGTGTTACTTAAAATTCCTGGGGGAGAAAGCAGGAGAGAGACAAAGAGGAGCATACGATTCTGAGGAGCGTAAGATTCTGATGTGCATGATTATTTTCTTTTCCTTTTCCCGGAACATAAGAGAACTATGTGCATACAGAGCCAGGATTAAGGTAATTCTAAAAGTGCCAACAACAGCTTAAATATTTTGTCAGCATTTTTCACTCCTACAGCTCGGATCCATTTGTTACAATTATATGACAATTGGAAAGGATGGCTAAACTTAGGTTTCCATTTTGTCATCACACTTTTAGTAGTAAAACATATTACCTGGGATATAGCCCATTTGTATGAATTTCCTAGGCCAGATAAAACCACAACCACTGTGAAACATATAGCTTCCTTGTAATTACATCCCAGTTTAGAACAGGACATAACTTGTTTCTACCATTTCTGTAAGCAGTGGCCATGTGGTGAAAGGAAAGACAGGGGGAGTCACACTAGAGATCAAAATTGTGTTTCTATGTTAAGACTTAAAAACTGAATTTCACCAAATGCAAGATCCTTCCCCACATCAGCAGAAGTCTTACAGAGCGATATCTGGGAAGGAGAAAAGTCTTCCCCTCCATTTACTCCCTGTCTCTTCCTTCTTACTGTTGCCAAGCCAAAGGCTACTATCTAGTACCATTACAGAGTTTCCAGCCCTAAACGTTTAGAAAACCCTTCTGTATTTAAGGAGGCAGAAGGAAGGCCTGTCCATACTTCACTACCTTACCATTTTATTTTAGGAACACTATGAATTACCCTTTAACTTCAGAAGTAGCAGGGGGATGTCCTGCTCTCTGCTCTCAGTGACCTGAGCAGCTAAGGCCAGGACCCGGGGGTCGGCAGCGGCGAGCGCTGCGTCGGGCACGCTGGCCATGGCGAACAGAGGCCCACAGCACCATCGACTCAAG